TAGATTAGTCAGATGCAAAAAACAGCGCAGCAAACATGAAAGCCGAGCGAAGCCGGGTATGCCAACTAGTCAGGAATAAAATAAATACGGAATTATCAATTTGATAATTTGTATCGCGTGTGAACCACCTCGAGTTTGAAACTCACATCGTATTCCTGACGTTCATGGCGTCTTTCCATATCATACTTATCCGCTTCAAGCTTACAAATTCGTTGATGTAGTTCCTTGATTTTTGCTTTGAGGTCGTCTGCTGAAACCTCCGAGGAGGCCGGAATACTTTTTTCAACTCCACTGATGAAATTCTTAATTTGGTATCTTTTGTAGAATAAGCATATCTAGCATGCATAAAATTATACCCTTCTTGCTTCTTCCTGCTGTTCTTTGGTCATACCCATTTCCTGCTTCGCTTGAACGATGTTACCAAACTTATCATCTTTGCTTGACTTCTTAGGAATGATGAAGTTTCTATAAGAAAATTTTCACTACCATCGGTTGTTTTTTGACAAGTGGGTCTGAATGATTCGTTAGGTATAAAAAGGAAATTTAAAGTAAGCCTACCGACCACTACCCATAGCTAGAGCTGGGAACATCTGTGCTTTCTTTTGCTGTTTCTTCAACTTCTCCTCTTCCCTTTTACGTTTTTCCTCCTCCTGCCTCGCCCTTCGTTCTTCCTTAAATAGAAAAAGTGCTCAGAATAAAAATTTCCATGACGTTTGCTCTGTACATCTTCTTTCTTGCGGCGTTCTTCTTCTTGCTTTCGTCGTTCGGCCTCAGCTCTTTCCTCTTGTTCTCTCTCGAGTTTACGCTTTTCCTGCTTCTCCTTCAATTTCCTGAGTTCTTCTTCCTCCTTTTCCCTTTCTAAGCGCCGATTCTCATCATATTCTTGCAGCAACTTTTGCTGCTCCTCATCCTGACGCTTTTTTGAGGCCTTAAAAAATAATATATAGCATTATAACAATTACTTTATTGTGATACGGTAATGATTTTTGTACTTACCAGCATTGCCTTCTCAGCTTCAGTCATCTCCCCTTCACCTTTTGC